CTTTGCACATATAATTATTAACAAACTAACACACTATACAGAAGGTAATACAAAATTCAGGAAATCTTTTTTTCTGTCTTTTACATTCTCTCTCTCCCTCCCTCCATCTCTCCCCACCCTCTTTCAGTCTTACTATGTAGCCCCAAGCCTCCAAGAAATGAGATTATAAGTATGCACCATAATGCCCCAATCAAAGACTCAGAAAAAAAATCTTGAAAGGTAATAGCATATATTTTAATTGAAACATTCACACACCAATACTGTCAGGAAAGCTAAAAAACCATTTTGAAGAATACCACCATTGTCCTTTTAATTTGCACTTTTAGATAATGAACTTTGAAAAACCAAAAGAAGATCATGGCAAGCTAAGTTGTTTTCTTTGATCAGTATTAAATATTGTGACAGTCTTGGAACTGGAAAACTATTGAGTATAGGAATATATAACTGTTCTTATAACTTACCTCAGTTCCACTCCAAGAGAGCATCACATATAAGCCATTTACCTTCACACAATTCTATGAGGACTCCCAAGCTATGGGAATTCACCCAATCTTCTTATGGTCCCAAAGTTAACCCCAAACACAAAATGATGGCAACATCACACTGTGATGAAAACAATTATAAGCCTGTGGGAACATTGTAAGCAATGGCCTTCCTCAAGAAAAAGGGGCTTCCTTACCCAATGTCAGATGTGCTATCTGTGGAAATAGCTGAGTAAGAGAGACCCTTACTAGGGTATCAGCCATTCCAGTCCAGGTAGCCAGAGCCCACACTTGTAAAGGAATAAACTCAGAATTCTTTTGGATAACTTCTTGCCATAGTTCTCATTTTAGAGATTGGCATATATAAAAATTCCTGCTTTCTTACAAGAATTAGAATGTTCTTTGGTGGTATATCTAGCATTGTCTTTCCCAAGACTCTTTCTCTGTTTTTTTCATCCTTAAAATCTCTTGATCATTGTCCTCCATTTCTGAGGAGTTTCCTATGAGAATCATAAACATATTATATTAGTCAATGTTTCATTACTAGGACAAATACTCGGCAATAAAGGCGAAGTGGGGGGTTATTCTGATACACTTTCACAGGGTTTCATCCATGGTTACTTGGCTCCATGTCTTGATACCCATGATGAGGCACAGCATCATGGTGGCAGGTATGGCAAAGGCCACTCACGTGGTGACAGACAAGAAGCAGGTAGAGAGACAGATAGACACACGAAAGGCGAGAGAGAAAGAGAGAGAGAGACAGACAGACAGACAGACAGACAGACAGACCGACAGACAGACAGAGACAGAGGGAGAAAAGGGAAAAGGAAAGGATGGAGTGGAGTAGGTGGGGTGGGAAGAGAAGAGGGAAAGAGGAGGGAGGAAGAGAGGAGAGAAGCAAAGTGGTGGGAGGAAGGGAAGGGGGAAAGGGGAGGGAAGTACTTGGAAGTATAACTTTCAGTGTCACATCTCCAGTGACCTACTTCCTGAGCTAAGTCCCCATGTCCTAAAGTTTCCACCACCTCCTGAAACAGCATCTCCAGTTGGGGACCATGTGTTCAACACATGGTTCATAACACACTTGAGAAAAAGAGAAGAGTGTCATGAAGTCTCATGTTCAGTCATGGATATACTGCCTGTCTTGCTTCCTCTATACCCACAATGACTTCTCCATCCTCCCCACATGTTAGTTAAGGCAAACTCAAAATATTGTAACATTGCCTCTGTAAATACTTATGAGTGTCTAAAAGATACAGACCTTTAAGGCTGTTATTTTTACTAAACAGATAAGAAACAGACTGAATGCATTTTATCCTTTAATAAAAAGCAAGAAAGGTAACATGGGAAGAGGAGACATATTTAGAAGCATATGTAAATCAGGTAAGAGTTAACCTGCCTCAAACTTGCATCTTTGGCCACTTGGAGTTTGCCTTTTTCATCCATTCTCTGGTACTTGTCAGGAAACCCTATTCTTTCCCTAATAGCTTTGATAAGCCCTTGACCTCATGAATACAGAGAATTATATGGATACAAGCTGCCCAAAGCCAACTGGGAAGGTATTATGATCAACCCAGAATCTTTCCAGGTTCCTGACATTTCTCTCAGATCTAGGGACTTGGTTCTTAAGGAAATAACATTTCCTGAGATAAGAAGCCATATCCTAACGGAAATGAAATTAACACTAATCCTTTAAGAATTGACTATTCAGAAGCTATCTACATCTGCTCTCACCAGAAACCTTCGGTTAGGCAGATGCTGAACTGAACAGACTAGCTTGTTTCTGAGAGCATATTATTCCTGCAAACACACACACACACACACACACACACACACACACACAACTTAAGTACTTCTCCAAACAAGGTACGCAGTCTTCCTGCACTCTCCAAACAGAACTGGATCACACTCCTTTGTTTCTATTTCCCAATAGCTTCTGAGACATTTGTGGCAGCTACTACTGCCTGAAATTCCTTGAGTCTGTTAGGCCTGAATCACAATGGCTATGCCCACCTTATTCCCACATTTTTTCCCCCATCAGGTAGCTAAAGTTTATACATGTCCTGTACTTAGACCGACTGGCCTTGCTACTTACTGAATGATTCTAGGCAAGTTAGTTAAACTTTGTGAAACCCAATTCATAGGTGGATAAGACAAAGGGAAAGGAGATGGACAGCCAGGGTAGTTTAGACTGCCTAACAAGGGCAGCTGAGAGATAAAGGATCACCCGGTGGCACTCTCAGTTTCCCATCTAATGTCCCTGCTTCTTTAGTTGAAGTTTTAGCCTCTTACTGGCTAAAGGTTAAGATGATAAAGACAGAAGACAAGGACAGGGGAGGGTGGAAAACTCAATGTAAAAACCATGCTGCCCGAGAAACACATGCGTAAGCTCCTGAGCTGAGTTGTGCCCCCAGTCTAGGCAAGAACTTTGTACTTGGCACCTGAGACCCTTCATACCAGACTAGCTGCATCTACAATCATGAGTTTCCCAAGATTGGCCCTCCCCACCCCCAAATGCTTGTCCATCACTCCATCCACTCTATGCTTACTCTGAGCCTGCAGCTGTGCTGGGGTTTAAGCTTTCCCCAAATAAACCATTTTACCCACTATTAACCCATGCATTCGCAAAGGGGCCTTCAAGTACCAGAGGCCTATGGTAAAGGAAACTTCCACTGACCTCTCTGGCTCAGAAAACTAGATCAAGACTTAGGAGAGCCAAGTGTTACAGTACCAGGACATGAGACTGTTAAAAGTTATGAAGGAGTGGCTCACACTCATAAACCTAACTACTCAGGAGCCTGCGATACAAGGATTGTAGTTTAAAGCTTACCAGGCAGAAAAGTCGAGACTCTTATCTCCAGTTAACCACCAAAGAACCAGAAATGGAGCTGTGGCTCAAGTGGTAGAGTAACAGACTTGAGGGAAAAAGATAAGGGACAAGGCCAGGTCCTGAGTTCAAATCCCAGTACTGGCACACATGTGCATGCACACACACACACACTCCTCACACATGATGGGTGATGGACAAGTATAGTCATAATATTCAAGGTACATGTGACAATGAGTGAGATTGGGACAGATAAGGGAGAAGGATGGAAGAGGTGATGCTCTGTATTCATAAACTAACATGTTGAATTGAAAACCTCTTTGTTTAAAGGTAATACAAAATTTAAAATCATGGTTTAAAAGGGTATATATTTTTTAAAGGTAATAACCAAAACACTTCACCTCCTACTTTTCTTTTTTGGTCAGTCATGGGGCTTGAACTCTGGGCCTAGTCACTGTCCCTCAGCTCATCAGCTCAAGGCTAGTGCTCTACCACTTGAGCCACAGTGCCACTTCTGGTTTTCTGAGTGGTTTATTGGAAATAAGAGTCTCATGGAACTCTCCTGCCCAGGCTGGCTTTGAACGGCGATCCTCAGATCTCCTGACTAGCTAGGGTTACAGGTGCGGGTCAATGGCACCCAGCTCCTAATTTCCTTTTATCATGTTCTCGGTTATTTATATTCAATATATCTGCAATGGCAGAAAGAACATATCTTTGTGTGCTTCTGAATATTTCCCTTCAAGTCCAGTGACTTCACACTGCTGGCTTAATATCAGATGTAGTGAGAATATTCGCACCATCGAAATTGGCAAGCAATACAAAGGAGGGCTCTTCTCCCAGACAGTAAGACTGTTACCTGAATCATCTGTATAATTCTATTAGCACACCTAAATTCAGCCTGATAAAACCATATCATATATTCAATTTGTGGCAATATGGAGCACTAGATGGCTTCAGAGCTAAAAATCCAGAAATAATCTTATTTCTTATTCTGACCAACTTTGAGATTCACAAGAAAGGACTACCCGAATCTTTTGTGTGTACACCCCATTTTCTTATTATTAGCTCAATTTGTGCTAGGAAACTCTGGCATGGGCTTCTCCCATAATTGGGCTTCAATTTTCACCTTCCTTTGCCAAGTATACACACAGCACTAACCATATTAAACCTCCCACATTCTTCACATGCCCTATGCAAGGAATTTAAAACTCTTGCAAGGGATATGCTGGAGTAACAGTGGGCACAGTGATCCCCATAAACACAAGTAAATGAATTCATTTCATTATGTATGACAGCTATGATGCCACCAGGCAGTAGTGACATTATAATCTTATGGTACCAGCCTCATGCAAGCCCATTGCCAAAATAAATGTTTATATGGCACAGGTCTGTGTATGTGTTTATATGTAACATCTTGGGAGTGTGGTTTTCTTTTCCATTTAAGAATCATCTAACTTCTCTATTTTAATTGAATGCAGCACAGAGCTGGAATACTGCAAAAACCCCAAGTGCACAGCTTATTGAATTTTCAAAAACTCAACAAATCCAAGGGGGAAAACAAACAAACAAACCAGCTTTCCCCTTAACTTTCTGAGGAAGACTTTAGAGTTTAGAAGCTAACCTGATGCAGGAAAGCAATGACTGATTACCAACTCAAAGACCAGAGAGGACAGAGTTTAAGGCTCAGGAGGTACATTTTAAAAAATTATCTTTATTTAGGTTTCTGATTCAGCACATATATCAAAGACTAATCAACATAAAGTAAATAAGACATTAATCAGAAGTCTTACATTTCTCTAAACTCTGACCAAGAATGTCAAGATTGCCACGATTACCAGAACTCCAACCTAGTCAAGTTGTAGACAAGCTATCATGAACAACATACAGTGTGCACGGATATGCAGAGGCAAAAGGCATGCTAGCATCTGGCTCTCCTCTGTTCCTTGTTGACATTCCGTTTGACAATCCACCTTTGTTTTCCAGGCTAAGTTCCAAATAAAGTCCAAAGACTCAGGGGTCCATATGACCAGATATTCTTTCAGAGGAATGTATTCTTAACCTGTTGTGCCTGCAACTTTGTTTCTGCCAGGATGTATAATACAATCTAGATGACAGTGCAGACTAAGTCAAACACTAATATTGAGCAATAACCCAAGTTAAGGCATGAATGCACAAATGCACACGTGCACACACGCAGCACCCATGCTATCACAAACGTAGGATTCTGATTGCCTAACAGGAGGCATACTGGGTGTGGCAGCTAATCACAACTGCTGAGCATTCTGAAAAATGCTCCCCCAAACTTTATGCAAACATGTTTCATCAAGTAAGAATTAAAAAAAAAACAAAACTATAAAAACCCCTTAAAATCTCCTTTAAAATGGCTCTTGAGCATGGAACTCATGTAGCAGCATCAATGGCTGGCTCTTCAGTAATTTGGAAATAAGTTTGTTTCATTTACTATGTATTTCTTTGGTAGTCATCACTACAAAGTTTTCAGTGTTGGTTACCTATAAGACAAGTAATTAACAGAAGATCAAGTTACCCAGAAATGATTCTTCTGTACTGAGAAAAATATTAAGCTCTCAAAGCACAAGTAACTCAGCTTTTTCTTTTGTCTTATTGGGCATCTTCTAAAAGCAAGGCTTTGTATGGGGAGAGTTCATGTCTACCTAACAAAGGGCAATACACATTCTATCTTCCTATAATTGAACAATCAACAAAAAGTTCATTGTCAATTATTTCTGGTCAAATCAGTTAGAAGCCAATTATAAAGGCACAGCAGCACTTGGTGTCAAAGCCACATTCTGGTCACACATTCTTTCCATGGTTGCTAATCACAGGAGCTTAGAATTTCAAAACTCCTTCCAATCAACAAAGGAGTCAGTTCAATTAAATCTTAACTAGTCCCATCATCTGCCAAATTTCTAGAATCTTGTCTAGAATGCCAGCATGCTTGATCAGAGAAAGCAGTTCAGAGCCCAGAGGCATCAGGTAAGTTAATTTGGTTTTAAAGAAAGGCATGGTAATCTGGCAACAGAGTACTTATCCTATTAGCAGCACAGTGGTAGCCAAGGGTCTCTGTAAGCAAGACAGGAAATGAAGCTACTGAAAGCTACAGTTGCTCCCACCTGCCTGAAAGACGGCTACTGATATTACAAAGACCTTTTGGGATCAATCCAGGGTTAGTTAGGCTGAACAAGTGGGCAAAAGAAATGACAGGAAACACATTTAGGTCCCATGAGAATTGACCAACCTAGGTATGTTAGTTCCCCGTGAATGAGGGTGTTCCCGTTTCTATGGGCTCAGGATGTGACTCTTATCAGTCCCTAGTGGCTAAGTCATTGCCAAAAAATTGTCCTAGGAGGTACTGCCCAAGCATTACAGGCTCCACAGGGGGCCATCAAACACTTTAAAATGACATAAGACATCACTAATTCAAAATAGTAGTGTTTGTTCTATCAGTTCTGAATGTCTGTAGAGGGCAACTACATTTACGTTGGAAAAGTGCTGTTGAAAGGAGCGATGCTTTATCTCGACGACTCTCGGGGAACCAGCAGTACATTTCGGCAGAAGGTTGAATGTCAAGAATCTATCTCAAAGGTGTTTACTGGGAACTGTCTGCTTACCCCAAGTGCATTTCACTTACCATATGGCAATGGTTTTTTTGTTGTTGTTTTTTTAATTCTTGTGCTTTCAGGACAGAATGAAATTGGTAGAAAACTGAGGGAAGATTATTACAGGAGGGGACTTTCTTGTTTTGAGTACAAGACACTATCCAACAGCATTGAAATCTACAATCTCAGAAAAGATTCTTGTAAACATATACCATATTTCTCTGTACCGTGAAGGCAAAATTTGTTTGCCTCGTCTCAGAATTCCTGGGAATTATAATGTACCAGGAGGTCAGTGAGCAATTGGGAGACAATCCCATGTGTCACATGGCCCAGTTCGATACTAAAAACCTAAAGCCTCAATAATAAATGCCAAATTTGTTCCCCATGCTTGAGAACTGTACTATGATTATGAATACTACATACACATTATAAATAAAATTTTTATAGACCAACGATTTGTTTTTCCTAGTAATCAAGGATGACGTTCTCAGGTTGGGGGCAGAAGAGGTGAAAAATATCCTATTGTTGCTTTTACTCTCAAGTTCTTAAAATGCTAGTCAAACACTATTATCCAATAACACTTTTCTTTTTCACTCTGTTAACTCTTAAATATGCATTCGAAGGCAAAAATGGAGGTTTCTATACTGTACAATATTAAATATCTACAATTTCATGGTTCCTTATTTTTTAGGAGTGTGTTCAATAAGGAGTTAGCTATTGAAGATGGTTGTCACAAATCATGAACTCTTAAAAATTACTGATAAATTAATTTTTAGTTCTCTGATTATATCCAACAGATACACGTTCTCATCATAAAATATACATTCTCTAGTAAGTCATTTTCACCCACAGCATATATAAATATGCAAACACAGGTGGTAAAAATCACTTTACTACCAATACAAAACAGTAACTGCAGAGAAACAAAAATAAAAATGTAGCAAGTATCAAGAAAAGAGTTGACGCAGGGTGTTCCACTTCAAAGTGAAACCAAAGGATTTATTTGTGCTAAATGAAGGGAAATAATGTATTCAGAATATACTCCTTTGTACACTGTACTTGCTTATACTGGGCAAAATAAGCAGTCCTCAATGTGAAGGTTCTACTTTCTTCTATACTTTTTCTTTTCTGCCAAGCAATAAAGTATTTTTGTGGCTATTATGCCAAGATATACTTGTCCATTTCAAATAGTATTTTCTGATAGCATTTTGCACCTTTATAATATTTGCTGAAACTCTATCTCAAGAGGCCACAAATAAAGAAATGGAAGGAGAACTCCTATTATTTATGTGAAAGAAATCACATTGCCCTCCGCATTCAAAATCGAAGAGCAAATTCTAAATTAGCATAGAACATTTATCGACTCTGTTTAGGTGGATTAAGGTTGTGGACAAAGAAAGGAATCACATCCTAATTTGCAGTAATTATCTATCCCATTGTGACATTAGGCTGTCTTAGAAGAGACATGGTTCTCAGCTTACAATGAAAATAATCTGTAAAAAGTGTATCTGTAGAAAGCTCTATTAAACAATATCTATGTTTTGGACACTGATTCATCCAACTTCCCAGTCTACATTGAAAGTTAGATTTTTTAAAGGTCTTGTACTATAGTGCTTGAATTCTTGGTATGTTTGGCAAATACCAATAGCTCAGTAATTTTCTGCAAATTCATGGACAAAAAAAAATATATAAAAAAGATATTCCCCCCCCCTTTATTTTACAAACCTAAAAGCCAAGAAAATGAAGCTCTGGGGCTAAGCAATAATTGCACACTGCAGCTGTATTACCAAACACCAAATAGCAAATGTTCTAGCCAGGAAATGGACACACATGAAGATTCAAGTAAAACACGATGGAGAAAGTCGTCTGGTTAGTGTTGCAGAGCCACAACACTGGCTGCTTTTCCAACAAACATTTACAACACAATGAATAGTGAAGCCTAGATAACCTCAGTGCAAATAAGTCAGATCCAAATATGCCAGGGAAAGAAGCCTTTGGCGTTGAATAGACGGCTCCATTGGACGAGTCCCAACTTGAAATTCAGACTAAGCACATGCATTAAGGCTGGGAGGAAGGGTGAACCGAATGTGGCGATGGGGTGGGCTGCGAGGTGGCTGCCGAGGGGACCATGGGCTGCATGGGTGGCGGAGGTGGAGGTGGAGGTGGCTGGACTGGGGTCTGTGTGTTGGGAGACGGAGGCGGTGTGGGTCGTTTGAATTTGTCAGGACTGTTGCTTCTCCGTGGTGAAGGCCTCTGTAGGGAAGACAAGAGCAGGTCAATTCCAACACAAGCCCTGCTTCCTGTTGAGGGGGCTGGTGAAACTCACCAGCCAAGATTAGAAAGCAATGACGTGCTTTTTTAAACCTACTCATTACTGGGTGAGTGGTGGAAATTTAAACATCGTAGTTTTTAATACCTACAGCTGTGAAATAGTAATTCAAAAGTGCTGTAAGTATTACTTTGACCAACCAAGTAAATTTGAACTCTTCAATGAGACAGTTGTAAAGTGGAAAAATAGATGTCATGCTGCTCCCTTTTAATTGTTGTCCCCTGTCAACTGTATGTCCTCAATATTTTTCTGTATATTTCTCAAATACATTTTTCATAGCTTGAGATGACAGCTCAACAGACACAAAGGGTTATTATTTTTACACAAAGTCTACCAACTGGTAAAAGATCCTCATAAATTATTTTAAAGAGGGCTGGATATGTGGCTCAGTGGAAGAGTGCTTGCCTAGCATGCATGAAGCCCTGGGTTCCATTCCTCAGTACCAAATACACAGAAAAAGCTGGAAGTGGTGCTGTGGCTTAAGTGGTAGAGCTCTAGCCTTGAGCAGAGAGAGGCTCAGGGACAGAACCCAGGCCCCAAGTTCAAGCCCCAGAACTGGAAAAAAAAGAAAAAAAAAAGTTTAAAAAAATGGCCTGGGAAGGTAGCTCAGAGGTAGAGTGCTTGCCCTGCATGCGTAAGGCCCTGGGTTCAATTCCTCAGCACCACATATGCAGAAAAAGCCAGAAGTGGCGCTGTGGCTCAAGTGGTAGAGCGTTAGCCTTGCTGAAGAGCTTAGGGACAGCACCCAGGCCCCACAACCGACCAAACAATAAATAAATAAATAAATAATTTAGGAGGACAAAAGAGTTTGTCTTTAAAGTAGTCTCATTGGAACTAACCTTAATTCGAATTCTTTTGTCCTAATAGCTAAAAAGCTGCTCTACTTAGTTCACTGTATAGCCACCACCACCCCCACACCCCGCAAAAAAAAAAACCTCTCACTTCATTTACATACAGTTCTAAAACTTGATGAACCTGTGTCCTTCTAATTCTAGGAGAGAACATTCTGAGTAAAACTAGAAACTAGGCTAACTTCAGGAACAGTAACAAGGGTCAGTAAACTGTGAAGGTACAAACGATAAGTATTTTCAGACATTATGGCAACCGACAATAATTTTTTATGGCCAAGAGCTGGCTAGAATTCAAACTACATTTCACAAAGGGCAGTTTTCACAGGAAGTGAAGCTGAAGTTTTTGCCTCATGGGAAGGAGTTTAGTTTTAACACCAGAACTTTGTGTCACACTATTTGGTAAGTCTCTGTAGTTTTAAGATCAACTAGTGAGGGGAGAGAAGAAAGATAAATGCCTAAGAACATCAATACTAGTCTCCCCAAAAGGACCAGCAGGCAACACCATCCCCTGTTTTCACTGTATTTGATGTTGGTATAATTTGTGGAGGGGAAGGGGAAAAACAAATCATTTAAAGAGGGATACAGATTGACCTACTGCAACTATGAGATACGAATTACAATTTAGGTGGGGTGGGGGAGGGAGTGTAGTCATGGAGATGGGAGGGCAGGGATGGAAGGGGAAAAACAAAGGAGGCGGCAACAATGCTTGATAAGAAATGGACTCATTACCTTGCTCATGTAACTGTAACCCCTCTGTACAGCATTTTCACAAAAGAAAACTTATACTTAAAAAAAAGAGTAAGGTGCTGCCTGCATCCCTGCAAACACTTACTGTGATGCCATGGGACGTCCCCATGTGCTGCACGTGAAGGCCTGGGGAATTGTAGTAAGACAGTCCAGCTCGAGTCAGGGAAGTTGGTGGCGTGAAACCAACTGTGTGACTTGCATAGGATAGACCTGAAATACAACAGCAAATGAGATAGCATGCCAAACTCAATTACCTCATACCTTAAAATGAAGCAAGTCTAAAACATGGGATGCAAAAAGTCATGCCTGGGAACAAAACAGAAAGCCCAGAGGAAAGCCATGCATATTACCACCCCCAAACACTGATCTTCAGGGGAAAGGACCATTCATGGTGTTGAGAAGACGAAGTAATCAGGTGCAAAAGAACAAAATGGGATCCAAGCACACAAGAAATCAACTCCCATTGGAGCTAAAGAGATAAGTGTGACTCGACAGCAAAAAAAAAAACAAAATACATCGATCACAAATTCAACAAGCAATCGGTGTATTTTAATATCTGTTGTGTCCTGAGTGCTATGGTATAAAGTTCTATGTTTTTTCTACATTAATGAAAGGTAAATAAAAATTTGTATTTAAGCTGGGCGCCGGTGACTCATGCCTGTAATCCTAGCTACTCAGGAGGCTGAGATCTGAGGATCATGGTTCAAAGCCAGCCCAGGCAGGAAAGTCCGTGAGACTCTTATCTCAGAAAACCAGAAGTGGCGCTGTGGCTCAAGTAGCAGAGTGCTAGCCTTGAGCTGAAGAGCTGAGGGACAGCAGCTAGGCCTAAAGTTCAAGCCCCATGACTGACCCCCGACCCCCCAAAAAAGTATTTATAAATGGGGGTGGGGAAAACATGGGTAAAGAGGGCAGGGGGTTAGCTCAAATAAACTCATGTACAACCTCATATACATATACATAAAAAAAAGTATAAAGCCGAGTATTTAGCTAGCATGTATAAAATCCTGTGTTTGGTTGCCAACACTGCCAAAAAAACAGGAACTGAGAAAGTGACACTTAGGAGGCAGAAGCAGGAGGATTGAGAGTTCCAAGTACATACTGGGCTAAATAATAAGACTTTGTCTCATCAAAATAGTATTAAAGAAATAAAAGATCCAAATACTTAGATAGTGAGTACTTCAAAGAAGACATACATTGGTTGGAAAGCACATACTCTGCAAAACCCATCATGAGGGAAATACAAATAAAACCACAATGAGATATTATTTCACACGTGGTGGAATGGCTATTACTTAAATAATACAGAGGTGCCACTTGGGAAAACTATGGAGATGCCCACAAATTTTCCCTTCTTGATATTTATCTTAAAGAATGGAAATCAGGATTTCAAAGAGTTAAACTCCAATGTTCATAGAATTTTTAGGAGGCAGAAATAGAATGCCCAAGGCTGACCAGGGCAAAAGTGGAAGACCCTATCTGTAAAACAAATAAAAAGGGTTACCTGCTAGTTCACGCCTGCAATCCTAGCTATACAGCAAGCATGCTGGGATTTAAGGATCGCAGTTTAAAGTCAGTCTAGACAGAAAAGTCTGTGATACTCTATTTCCAATTCATGAGCAAAAAGTCAAGGGGACTTGAGGCATGGCTCCCATGGTAGAATGCTAGCCATGGGCAAGCAAGCTAAGTTTCAGGCCCCCGAGCACTAATCCTGAGTTCAATCCCTAACACTGACTGCCCCCTACCCCAAAAATAAGTCAAGCCTTTCTAGTTCACTTGAGATGTAGGAAAGGAATATAGAAGAAACATGTAATAACCACACACTGGTGGCTTGGATACAGATACACAAATTTCTTCCAATTAAAAACTAAAACAAATATAAAACTGGAAAATTCAGGTTTTGTTGACCTATGATGCATAGCACTGCAATACAGAAGACTAGAATAATTAGACTTCTAAATAGGAGAGAAATGGACTTTGATGGTGTCATAGACATTAGAACAGTATGAAAACATTCACAATGAGGGAGAAAGAAGAAAAGATCTATGTGTTTTTATTAACTTCAGGAAAGCTAAATAGGTTATCTCTCTCCAAGCAGCTCTGCACTTGATGTGGGTCCAGTTCATGGGGGAGAATCGGTACAATTTAAGTCCAAGTATGCAAATAGAATATGACTTCCCTGAAGCATATTTGCTATAGTAGAAGTAATATTCCAAGCAAAGATTTGACATTTGTTTTCTTCTTTTTTCACTGACTGCAATATTCTTTTCTAATCCATTGGAAATTGAAAGCTTCTAAAACTTCTTTAAATAAATCAAACAAGACACATTAAATTATGCTTCATATGAATCAGCACCCCATCAACTACAAAATAATCCCCCATCTTCCTGACTCCTGCCTTCCTTTTACATTGATAAATCAGAAAGCAAAAATAAAAGATCTTTATCATGATAATGAAACCTAAGTGCTATTTTGTGAAAAGCGAAAGGCAGTTAGGAAGAGGCTTTTAGAAACAGATTCAAGGTAAGTAGAGAAACAGATTCCGTAACACCTTTTTTTGCCAAGAACAAGGCAGGCATGATGACCATGTCATTGATCAGAAAGTTCTGTCTAACACCAGTCTAACACCAAAAAGCACATTGGCCTGACATAGAAAAAAACCACCTCTTGTTGGTTACAAAGTTTACTTTTTGGTTTTCTCTTCTAAGGAAAAAAAAAAAAGATCACAGGAATACAGTCCCAGGTTGGATCCCAAAGTCACAAAACAAAGCCACGTCTCCCTTACACTGTATCAGTGTCAACAGCGCTGCAGTAGCAGGTCCCCTTCTCAACCTGAAACACACCCCTTCTCTTAATGACAGACAAAAATGCAGTTGCCCTAACTGAAAGCTGTGTGATTTTACAATTCCCTAGGCCGGTGCCCGTAAGGCCATACTATCTTTTACTATAAAATTCCAACTGTATCTTCCTCCTCACCCCTACACACTTTTCCTCCAACTCTCTTTAAAACCTTTGTCAGCAAGCTCAAGAATAGGGGGGCTTGTCGGGCTGGGAAGGTGGCTCAGTGGTAGAGCGCTTGCCTTGCATGCGTGAGGCCCTGGGTTCGATTCCCCAGCACCACATAAAAAACAAAAAGAAAAAAAAAGCCGGAAGTGGGGCTATGGCTCAAGTGGTAGAGCGCTCGCCTTGAGCTGAGGAGCTGAGGGACAGCACCCAGGCCCAGAGTTCAGGCCCCACGACCAGACCCAAAAAAAGAAAAGAAGAATAGGGGGGCTTGTTCTGGTCACAAGATGAGGTCTTTGGCTTCTCCCTTCTTTTCCCTCTCTCTCCTCCACTTACCACCTCTGCCTCTTCCTGGTTTCCTTTCTCCCTTGCTGGCCTCCATTTATTTGCCCTCCAGCCCCAGAGTCCCATACAATGCTGGGACTAAGATGAGAACACTGGAAAATGTTTTCAGGGGAAGATATAGATAGGTGTGCTTCTCAGAACAGAAGTAAAGGAAAACTGGGCAGCAGTCTATCCATGCTTGTAAGGCCAAGGCCCCATTCAGCAAAGCATTGCAAGTACCAGAGGTAGAGCAGAGTGGGAAGAATTCAGGAACTCAGACACCCCCATTGCCTCTTCCTGCAATATGACTAGGAATTAGTAAACCTCCAAGTCCCTGCTTCCTCAATCTTCATATGGGAAACATGATGCCTACCTTAATTATTCTGAGGGTAAAAATGAGATAACGTCCTTGGAAATTGTAATGCAACTCATAAAAGCTGTCCTATAAGACATCTTAGAAATCCATCCACTAACATTTCGCATCAGAGACAAATCAGTCTTTTGTTTTGTTTTTGTTTTAAGATACTGGACAGATGGCACCAGTGGCTCACGCCTGTAATTCTAACTACTCAGGAGGCTGAGATCTGAGGATCATGGTTCAAAGCCAGCCAGGTAGAAAAGCCTGAAAACCACCAGAAAACCAGAAGTGGGGCTGTGGCTCAAAGTGGTAGAACAGTAGCTTTGAGTGAAAAAGCTGAGGGACAGCTCCCAGGCCCTGAGTTCAAGCATCATGACCATCCTTCCCCCCCCCC